CGTACAGCAGTTCGTAACTAGAGGTACCACTGTATGTTGTGTTTTTTACAGTTATTTATAGTAGTTTTAATGTTTAATTTTGTTCACCGCTCAGAGGAGCAGCCATATAAATAAATCAATCATTTCCACAGCGTTACACGTGTGACTTACCTGCTTCATCAAAACTGCTGTCATGTGAAATTAGTGACTTGCTCCTCCTTTTCATTCTTTTACCTTTCTCCAAGGAACTGCCTGCTCTGTGAATACATTCAGCGCTGAACCACAATGAGATACTGAATCCTTCAGACATATGTGGCCAACAATTTTGCCCCACCAGAGGCAAATGGATTGGAGCCACATGCCATGGAGAGAGAAGATGGTGTGGCAAACTCTCACCCTCTGGTTCTTTCTTTGACTGGACTAATTTTGCTCGCCTCAGTAATGCTACAGTTTTGCTGCTGAGTGTGGGAGCTGGCTTTTGGCAAGGGCTGCTTCCTAAACTTGGAATTTGGTGCAAAGGAAATACGATATGCTGTAAAGGCCTCAGCCTGGTATTTGCCTCCAAAATCTTTAGGATCCCTTTAAGGAGGATACCCTAAAAGGAATGAACAAAATTTTAAAAAATGGTCATTATACTCTATAACTTGGTTCCCTAATGCAGCATTTATGAATGTCCATGTGCCTGCCAGTAGCTCCTGCTCACTTTCTAAAAAGTTATTTTTTAAAACAAATTGAATTAATAGATGCATATTACAATATTAAGAACCACCCTCAAGCGTAATCTCTACTTCCAGCAATGCTTCTGAGCTTCACACAGAATACAGAGACATTCTTAGAAAATAAAATGGTAGATGAGTATGGCCAAAACTCTGTATAGAACTGCCCTGCCCAGAAGAAAAGCAGCGCAGGGTAAACTGAGGATATCCTGAAGGTCTAGAAAGAGTGGTAAGAAGTGAGCTCACGGTTTGCCATCCAGTGAATGGCTGGTTTAGGATTTGGCCATGTGCTATCTTCCCATCATTGCTTTTACCCGTACCCCTCAAGTCACTTCTGAAGATCAGTAAATCTCTAGAGTAAACTCTCATCACCACCCAAAAAAAGAAAACAAGGCACTCCCTCTAGGTTTATATATGGGGCTCTTTAGGGCATAATCTATGTCTGAAATTTATATAGTTGAAACTATTTTTAACCAGGAATGTTATTTCCCTCTGTGAAGAAAGAAACAACCATGAACATAAAATATAACAACAATCATTTTAAAATAGCATTATTTTCAAAGTGCCATTAAGTTATCTTCCCTGTCTGCTTTTCCCCAAATTTCTAAAAAAAAATGGTATATTGTACAAATCTATAGGAACTGTTACTACAGTGGTACCTCGGGATACGAACTTAATCCGTTCCGTGACTCTGGTCGTAACCCGACGCAAATTTCCCCATAGGGTTCAATGTAAATCCGGTTAATCCGTTCCGCCCTCCGAAT